ACTGTTTTTAGAGTCAAGTAGTAAATATTCTTTGTTCTTGAATCTATGCAGCTGTCCCTGTTTGAGAAATACAATAAATATCTAGCTTCACTTAAGTTTGGTCTTGGTGTATTTTCAGTGGTGTTGGAACCTTTCTATCCATTCAAGTAGTGAATCCAGCTCTCCAATAGCCTTCACTGCTCCTGCTGCCTGATCAAGCTGAAAGACAAAGGAAAGTTATTTTTCTTTCATTTTCTGTCCTGATTGTGAGGGAAAAGTCAGTAGAAATTGGTGGAATTTATTTAAATATGTTGAAATGTGTTAAACTGAGCTTTTTGTAGTATTGTCAGATCAAATAAAAGATTTAAGAAAATATCCGTATTGGCAGGTCTAGTTATTAGTTGTCCTGTCAGTAAATTACGTCTCTTACCTTGTCATACATGGTTTGAATTCCTGCGAGGTTTTGTTTGGCATCTTCACTGCACTCACAGTGTGCATTAGCATGCTTTTGGATAGACACAAAGTGACATGATTAGATTAGTCTGCTAAAAGCTTTCGAGCAACACCTCTCTATCTCTATTGCTGTGCTTACACCTGCCCCTAATCCTCCACCAATATTCTAAAATACACAGAGCTTGATTTCATTTACAGTTGCTTATTGATATATAGATAATCACAGCTTGCACATGCATTTTTTCGCAGACAGGTTTGTAGGTCATAGTTGGTCAAATGGAAAAGTCCCAAATATTGTAGCGTACGAAATTTTATGACTCAGCATTGTTTTAGTCTTTAGTCTGATGCCATTCAAATGCCAAAGGAAGGTCTTTGACCTTGACCTCTGTAAAAAGATTTGCGAGTTACGACAGTGTGTGGGACTTTTCCGAATTTTTTTCCAGTCTTACGGTTGCAACAGTTTGAAAAACATTCTTTAACTATAGCAGTGTTACATACACACACTCGCAGGTCCTTGGTGATACTGAGGAAGGAGTTGGCCAGTACGCTGGTGGTTCTGCGATGTAGGGAATGACTGCTGCTGTAGTTGATAAAGACCTTATCCATGTAGAAGTGAAGGAGCTGCCTGAGGAAACAGCAGCTTTCTGTAGCCTAATAATGGGGAAGACAAATACAGGTGCATCTCAATAAATTAGAATGTCGTGGAAAAGTTCATTTATTTCAGTAATTCAACTCAAATTGCGAAACTCGTGTATTAAATAAATGCAACTACACGAGTTTTACAATTTGAGTTGAACTTTTCCACGACATTCTAATTTATTGAGATGCACCTGTAAATCACAGATTGTTTTGACAGTAATATATGGTAATTGATCAGCTGACTTGATTCTACAAAGGTTATGAAGCTACAGGCCCTATAAAAAAAGAATCAAAAAATGTTACCTGTATACTGTTCATCACGTCTTTTCTAAGTAATCGGATTGCCTTGTGATCATCTCCTGAAATCTGTCAAAACACAAGATATTATCAGATTGCATTACCGTTGTAATCCCTACATAACCTCAAACCACAGACGCAATCAAATAAGGCCACCTTAAAAATGGCAATGTTTACATGGGAATTTTCTGCTCTGTTTTTGCAAGGGATATGATTCGTCAGACTGACAAAGAGCTGAAGACATTGGCAGGAGTTTCCAGGGGTTGACTGAGGTATTCCTTTCGCTCTTTTTTTGCTTTGTCATGCTTAAAAGTCATTGTTGTTCTTTTGATTTAGACATGCAGAGTGCAAGAACAGCTTAAAACCAATAACCTGTTGGTTGACATGTCAAGCCTGTCAAGAAAGCCCATTGACATCACCAATGATGTCATTGTTATGGCGGGAAATGGACTTGGCGCATTTATACATGTTTAGCATACGTCAAGCCACCACCAGCTGTAAGGAAATGCTGAGACTAATACATGAATAAGGCTAGACTGTAAATGTGCTCACCATGCTTTGACGGATGTGCTGGAAGTGGTGCCTGAGTTCATGCGTGTGAATGTTCACTTTACAGCTGCCCAAGTGAAGCCGCCGACCCTGGGCTGTGTCCCATAGACCACACAGCATGGTGCATACAAACATGCTATATATGATAAACAAGTCCTTCATTATTATTCTGACAGTTCAGCCTGGGATAAAAAGAAAAGACAGTCAAACATAAGTATATACAGTATGTGCTACATAAATGTAATAATGTATGTGCTATATCATTCTCATATAGGATTAAATAAATATGCTGTACATCATGTATTATTACCTGGTGAGGTCCAGGGAGTGTTTTTCTTCATAGAATGAAGTGCACCTCTGTATGGTGATGGCAGGACCTCTTATAGTGGGACAGGAGGGGAATTTCGACAGGTATTCCTTGACTCTCTTCTACCTCCCATTACAGTAAGAGGAAGTGCCTGTCTTTGCAAGATTATTAATTCATCACTTTGGGAATTGGCACGTACATAATCTTACTATACCTGTAGTGGCATCTTATACTGTGTAGTTGTGCAAATATATATATTATAGTACACTACCGTTTAAAATTTTTGGGTAAGATTATTTTTTATTTTTGAAAGATGTCTCTTATGCTTACCAATGCTTTATTTGATAAAAAATCCAGTAATATTGTGAGGTATTATTCATTTCTGTGATGGCAAAGCTAAATTTTCAGAAGCCATTACTCCAGTATTCAGTGTCACATGATCCTTCAGAAATCATTCTAAAATGCTGATTTGATGCTCAGTATTTCTAATTACCATAAATTATGAAAACAGTTGTACTTAATATTTTTGCGGAAATGTTTTTTTTTTTTTGAGGAATAGAAAGTTTTTTGTAACAATGTAAAATTTAAAGTCAATTTAAAGCATCCTTCATCCTTCTAGTATATTTTACTGACCCTACTATTGAACAGTAAATATTATATAGTTGGGAATGAATAAGTATTGGGAATTGATAAGTACTGAAATAGGTTATTTTTATAAAGTAATTTTTTGTGTATTTACATTTTAACAATAATCTTTATTAAATAATAATGAGAAAGAAAGACTGCATACTGCTTTTACTCATTATTTGGTTATTCTTTATTTAGCAGCCTTTATTTAAAAGGCAGATTACTGCACTTACCACAGGGACAGTCCCGCAGGGGCCTTCTTGGGGATAAGGGGCTCTGTCAAGTGATAACTTTCCCAATTCAAATCACTTCCGAAATTAGAACCTAGGACGTTTAGTTTACTAGCTTTACCAACATCTCTACATCATTGCATGTGTATTTCATCTGATAAAGACTGACTGACTGAAAAGTCTTGAGTTTCCTTTTCAATTAAGCTCACATGAACAGTTACGTAAATCAAACTTCCTCTAGTGACCAACATTTTTTTTCATATTTGACATTTAGTTCATTTGTATTAATTTTTTTTCTAAACGGGACAACAAATTTCTTCCTGATATTAGTGTGTTATGTGACAATTTTTGTTTACTGGCTATTTCATAATCAACTGACCAGCATTGCTTGACTTTTGAAAGCATGTGGTCCAGTAGAACGCTATTTCTTCTGCTGTTGGGCTCCATTGACAGGAAATAAGTTCAGACCTTTCTTGCTCTGTTTCCTTATGCTGCAGGCAGTTTGTTTTCTTTTTGTCCTTCCTAACATCGGTTGCTCTGAATGATTGCCAATCAAACCTGAAATACCGCAATACAGGTAGCTGTGTGTGGAGAGACTTCTTTGCCCAGTAAGGAAACCAATTACATGAAATACTTGTTTGATTAATTGTTTAAAATGTTAAAGATGTTGAAACGCTAAATTCATTTGCAGTCAGTGAGCAGGAAGAGAACTACAACACTAAGAATTTATCATCACTGGATATTACTGGATAAAAAGTCCCTGGTTGCACTGTTGCATTATGTCACTCATCAGTTACGTGTGGGAATCTGAAACATGATTACAGTGGTACAACTCTTTTGTGTATATATCAGTTATTTTGCATATAGCATAAAGCATTTAGAGAACTCAATATAAATTGCATCACTCAATATAATGTACAAAGTTCCCACAAGATGTCACTATAATCATAAAAGAAAAATGTGCCATGTAAATTTGGCTTTGGAAAAGTTTGTGTAAGAAAAAACGTGGTTCTTTGGTCACTCTTTATTTTAAGGTCCAGTTCTCACTATTAACTAATTATTAAGACTAAGACTTTTGCCTCAATAAACTCCTAATTACTGCTTATAAGGCAGTTGTTAAGTTTAGGTATTGGGTATAGGATTAGGGCTGTGCAATTTGGCCAAAAATCATATCTTGGTATTTTTTGGCTGAAATGCGATAAACGGTATTTATGTTTAATTTATTTATTTACACAGCCTGCACAAAGTTGTCCAATGAAACAATGTTTATATTGAAGGCAATGAAAACATATATAGTGAAAGTAGGCTATACAATCCATTATGTGCAAAAAAGGGGCTAAAATCACATTAAATTCTAACATTTTTAACATTACATAAAAACAAAAAATTATGCTTTTTAAAAGAAATTCAATTCACTAAAATAAAAATGAAAGTAAATAAACACGCGCACAGATTAATTGCATTATATTTTGATTACCCATTACTTTTATCTGCTATCAAATGCGCTCCTATTTTGTGCTCAGTCTGTTCAATGAAGTCTGTGAAGTTTAGTGGAGAATCGCATGCAGAAGGCTTTTGACAGCAAAACAGAAATATTTCCATGACATTCTAACATTTACAGGTGGAGAATATACCTGTGAAGTGTAAGTTAGGCATTGAGGAAAACAGCACATCTGACGGGACAAGCTGCTTTCAACCATACATGTTAACTATATCTTACTTTATTATTTAGTTATTTTAAAGCCCTTAATATAAGCATGTCTCATGTTTAGGACAAACTGGATTATGCAGTTTCCGTGCAGCAGCTCGGGACTCGATATATTGCCCAGCCCTATAGGGATGTAGAATATGGTCATGCAGAATATGTGCATTATAACTACTAATAAACAGCCAATATGCTAGTAATATGCATGCTAATAAGCAACTAGTTCATAGTGAGAATTGATCCCTAAACTGAAGTGTTATTTTAGTGAATGATTCTTTTAAAGAACGCAAAATGCTTTTTCTATGGCATCTTTGCGAAAACCTACTTTTAGAACGTTTAATTTTAAGTGTATAGTAAATTATACACTAAATCTGCTTGTTGTCTAGTTTTATTGTTATATGTTATAATGTTATGCTGCGTGAAGCGAGGAATATAGCAGGCGAATTCTACATATGACTTTTAAAAACAAGTATGTTGAAATAGAGCATTATTTTTACACATTTATTTATATAGAAATACTGACACAAGATAAAGGCAGGACTACACACAGTACGTTAAAAACACAGGCACGTTAAGGGCATTTTCAACTACACAGTAGTTACATTATTCCCCCGTTTATCATTTTGCTTCGTCGTATCTTAGTCTACCCCTATACTCCTTAATTGTAACTACGCTTGTTTGTTGCACAGTACGTCCGTTAATGTACCTTTATTTTTAGGGTTTAATTCATTCCACTCAGCCATCGCTGCTGCTTCTGTTCTGTATAATCACGTAGAAACGTTTAATGCAGAATACTCATGCTCAGTTGTATTCAAGGCAGGAAATTCAATAAATATGATGCATTGAAGGTTTTTAGGTTACACAATGAAACATTCCTGAAAATAAAGGGAAAAAATGCATTCTTTACTTGTTTTCTCCGGTACTGTTTGATTCAATCAGTACTGTCAAGTAGACAGGAAGGCCTGGCTGTGCACAGGCATGCATCAATCTGTTCATCACTCAAGCCATCTTATATTACTATAGCATGAAGGTGTCTGAAGCACATGATGACATCTGAGGGGACGGGAGGACTCAAGTGATTGCCGTCCAGACGCAGGTATCTCAGTTTGGGTGCTCCGTTCTCATCATGCATGTTGAGAGAGTTAGAGGGACAGATCTCAGTGCCGTTAACACCTGCAAAGACAAGTAAATGTGTTATTTTGGAGATGTTGTTTTGTGGCACAATAACAAATTGAATTGAAGTACATACTCTCAATGCTGTTGTTGTTAAGATGAAGTTGCTCCAGCTCGGGGTTGAACAGGGGAATAGTGCTCAGCATGTTATGGGACAAATGCAAATCCAACAGTGAGCTCACGTTGAACACCAACTTTGGAAGACCTTTGTCATTAAGCTGGTTGTAGTTAAGTCTCACAAAGGCCAGGTTTGTGAAATCCTTGAAGTAGCTCTGTGGAATCTCCTCAATGTTATTTCTGTCCAAGAACAGTTGGAAGAGGCCCTTTGGTATATTCGCAGGCATCTTCCTGAGGATGTTGTGGGCCAGGTTGAGCTGAATCAAGTTCTTCAGATCTTTGAAGATGTTCTTGCCCAAGCTGCTGTCACTGATCCTGTTGTGATGCAGATCCAGAAGTGCGAGATGTTCCATCTTGCTGAACGCTCCAGGTGGGACTTTTGATATTTGGTTGCGGCTGAGTCTAAGCTGCTCCAGACCGGCCGGCAAGTCATCAGGCACCTCCTTTAGCTCGTTCCTCTGCATATAAAGGTAAAGGAGGTTTGGCAGCTTCTCAAACACTTGTTTCTCCACTGAACGGATACGGTTGTTTCCCAGATTTATCCACTTAAGCTCAGTGCAGTTTTTGAAAGAGTCTGCGGTTACTTGGTCAATGTAATTATTCTGTAGGTACAGGTAGTGGGTGCGGAACGGGATGACCGGGACCTTCCGGATGTTGCAGTTTTCACAGTACAGAGCATTTGGGTAAGATGGTGGGCAGAAACACTCTCTGGGGCAGTCTGGGAATTCAGAGGGAGGGCCTAGGATCGGAGGGGGAAAGTCTGTGGGTTCCTGGGGCTCGGGCTCAGACTTTGGGGCAGGAGAAGACAGTTTCTTGGGAGCAGGAGGTTTCCTAGTGGTAGGCGGACGGACAGGCTTTGGTTTTGGTCTTCGCTGGCCACAGACATCTGTGATTAGAAGAAGGACAAGAAGAGAGCAGTATGCAAGCCCAGCTTTCATGGTCCTGAACAGAGAAGCAGCAAGAAAACATTCTCATTTTGCTTTATCCTGTGCTGATTTGGGCAGTAATATCAGTTCTTTCACAAATCAGGATTTGTTAAATTAGCATTTAACTCTGTCATTTCTTGCCAACTTAAGATCACAGGATAATAGTAATTAAAAGTCAGTTCATTTAAATAATTAAAACATTGAAAATGTACTAATTACAAATAGCTAAATAAGAGCACTATAATTTTATGTAGGCGTTAATTTGATTTTGGAAGAATTTAATAATAAATAAGAAGTCATATTGACATCTCTGACTTCATTTGATTACAGACTTTGGTGTCTTGAAAAATCAGGAGCACAGTTTGAGACATTTGTGATATCTCTTAAAGTTCTACAGGAGACATGAGTGATGTTTCTGGGATTCTTTGGGCTCTTTTTTAAATAAAGAAACAGAAACTTAAAGAAGAGGCATCTTTTGTGGTTTTTCTTTGCTATGGAGACCCTTGATCAAGGTCTGGCATGACAGAGCTACAGACTGAAGTAATTTTTGCTGTCATCTTTGTCATGTACTCTTCTAGTTTGGCTGTATTATTATGACTTCTACAGACTCTGAAAAAAAAGCAGCTCTGGATTTACAGGTTTGTCTGCACAGGGCTCCGATAAAGACTCTATTGTGCAATGTAAGACCTAGGAAAGAGTGAGTCTTAATGAGGCAACCAGGCTGGACACCCAGGGGAGCTTAGAGGAAACTAATGGCTGGAACAATTGCAGTGTTAGAATGCTATCTGCACCTCTATGTGTCAGTTTTGCTTAACAAATACCACCTTTGAATTGCTGATTGGTGGAACACTGAAAACATTACATAATTTCTCAGAGGATTAATAAATGTTTTTTTTTTTATTATATATAATTAAGTTACTTTGCAGGCAGTACAAAGTATAAAAATGAGCCATGTAACTTGATTTTTTTTCAGATATGAAAAACATTTTATTTGATACTTTTTAATTTATATAACTCATATTTCAAAACTCATTATATTAATAATGCCTCTCATTAGGCTTAAGTTACTTTGCGGGCAGTACAAAGTATAAAAATGAGCCATGTAACTTGATTTTTTTTCAGATATGAAAACATTTTATTTGATACTTTTTAATTTATATAACTCATATTTCAAAACTCATTATATTAATAATGCCTCTCATTAGGCCAAACAGTCTCACTGAGGATTCTTTATCTGCTTCTTAACTCCTATGTAATAACAATGACTGCTACAAAAGCTTCAATAATTCAGTATCAGTCTTCGTTGGACTTTAACTTTCCCATAAAAAAGGTTTTAAAGCAAGAACTTTTATATTTTACGATTTTATGCCACATCTCTTTGGGTCTTATATCTGAACTTTGACTAGACAAAACATTTTAATTTAGCTTTTTTGGGGGGGGGGGGGGCTTTTTTGAATAACTTAATAAGGTCCTCATAATTTCATAAATGATTTTAAACCCCTCTTAGAAATATTTTGGCAGGCTGACTGCTGGGAAGTGATCTCAAGTTGAAGATTATTGTTTGTTTAGTTCTCTTCTGCATGCCTGCTTTAGGTGGGGTGCAAATGAGATTGTGATCCTATCTGGGCTTTGATTTATTCAGAAATGTTGATTAACAAAGCTAAATAATATTTGTGACCATATAAGGAGATTTAGGTCATTACTAGGCATAAGACAAATGCATAATAACAAAAACATGCAATGAGTCAGTGCTGGCAAGGCTCAAAAGGAGGGAACTGTTGAGTTTTAGATTTGGTTAGAGGTCGAAAAAGACAAAAAAGGTCTCTGGGATGTATTATTTCTGAACCAAGAGAATAATGGTTTTGCCTAGAAATGGATCAGACCAGAAACATTACAGGTCTGCTACCTAGGCAGTTGATATGATTAATAAAAATGTAGCAGAAAATCAATGAGAAAGCTTCTCCTGACATATCAGGTGCAAGATGATTAAGTTTGATGAATGTAAGAGATGCTAATGGAATCTGCACTGTTGGGTATTTTTATCATTTTGTTTTCAACTGTTTTCGTATGTCTTAAAATGTACACACTAACGACAAGTCTTTGATAGATCAGACAGGACAGGTGAACAATGCATAGTTGGCGATTAAAAAAAAAAGAAATTATATTTGTTTCAGGCACGGCGCCAGAATTTTTTCTCTACCGGTGCTAAGGGGGGGCTAGACCAATATGTGGGGGTGCTAAGAAAATAAATGATATTGATGACGTCAGAGTAAACCGGGGCTAAACCGGGGCTATTCAAAATTCTGACGGTGCTATAGTCCCCCCTAGCCTCGGTGTAGCGCCGTCACTGATTTGTTTTTATTATCCTTTTTTATTTGATTATTATTTTTATTATATTTATATTATTACTATAATTAGTTTAATAATAATTATAAAAAATAATAATTAATTGTTTCAGTATTGTTTGATTAATTTATTAATCTATATTTGATTCATTTTTTATTTGATTAATTTGATTATTGGTATAAATTTATTATATATGTGTAAAACACACACACACACACACACACACACACACACACACATATATATATATATATATATACAGTGGGTAATTAATGAGGAAAAAAAATTAACTTAAATGATTTTAGCAAATGGCTGCAATATAACAAAGAGTGAAAAATTTAAGGGGGTCTGAATACTTTCCGTACCCACTGTATATACACTTCTAAACATCTAAGTATTAAAACTGAGAACACAAAGCTTGTAAGAGAGTGTCTACCTGTTTTAGCACTGTGCTCAGTGGTGTTAATTGAGCCCTAGTTGGTGCACAAGTACCCGAAAGTACTGAGTGAACAGCCAAAGTAATCATGCCATTATTTTCATAAGCTTTAACTAAATTTAATAAATGACACTTGGCTAAAGAATGCAGATTTTAGGACCAAATTAATGGCTAAATTCATGTGCTATTTCTTGCCAGCATCCACAGATTTTCTGATTATTATGTATGTATTTATGTTGCTTGTCTCCTTTGAGACTGATTTATGGCTGTTTTGAAGAAACAAAACATTTCTTACCTGTTGCTGGTTCCTGCCCTCGTTTGATGAATCCTCTTGCTGTCACTTCACACTCACAGAGTTCTGCTCGCCCACCTTGCTTTCTCCTTCTCTCTCACTCTGTTTCTTTTCCCCCTCTTTCCTCCGTACTTCCCCTGTTCTCCTCTGCTAAGCAGGCTGCCTATTGGGTCTTTCCCTCTTTTCCTTGTGAAGGTCAACAATTATGTCTCCCTGCCCCGCCTTCAGCGAAAGTGGCTCAAATTAAATCGAAACATCCATCCCTTTACACCAGGATCTGTTGTCCACTGCTGTACACACTGATGCATGTAAATGGGTGTGTATCGAGGACTACAGGGCCAGTGGGATGGGGTGGAGATCAATACAGAAAGCGTGGGGTCAGAATTCTTTCCAACACCATCCTGTGCCCGATCACGCGGATCCTTGGGATACTTCATCAAAATCATGTGCTTTTTATTTAGTTTAGAACCACAGAGTACTGGACAGCTTCCCTTTTTTTTTTTTTTTTTTCATACTTGGGTGGTGTATGCCTGATTTTCTCTCAAGTAAAAAAACTTATCACGTGAGCTCCCTTATTTGGGATTGTCTGACTTTTGTGATTCTAAGTGCTCTAGGTTTTAGGTAATCTCTCTCACACTTACTTTTTCTCTCTTTCTTGTGCTTTCAAGCTTTGTGCAGAGAGCTGCAGCTGCAGAGCAGTGGTGACGAGATGTGAAAAACATGGTTCTTACTCCCATTGAAACCTATTCATCTCCCTCACACACAATTGCACATTTGCACTGTGAGGTCAGACCCATGCTTATATTTTAAACCCCAAAGGACTTCAACAGCTGGAGTAACAACATCTGTGATATATGGTGTTTTAGTATTGTAAGTCTTAAGAACTGCAGCACTCAGTCATTTACAGGTTTTAAAAGGACTTTAGTGTTGTCTTCCTCTGAGATCACTGGCAATGTCCCAGATTTGCACATATGTGCTAAATTAGAATCATACATTCGCGGGCTGTAATTGTGGTGAACTTCATTCAGGGATTGATTGGAGCTCTTAAACAGCCCAGAGATCTATAGCGGCCCATTATATCCCCACAACTTGACCCCTATATTAGCAATCCATGCACATAATAATTTATAATCAATAAATTATCAATAGATGAGAAATAATTTGCCGCACTTTCTAAGTAAACTCATTTGACACTTTGATTTGCATTTATTTTGTGTTTTTCTTTGTCCCTTTTGTTGATGAACTGTAATATGTGAAGACGTGTCTCTGGTGCTGGTCCATTTCTGTTTTTAGGAAGGTCACTTTTGTATGTTGTGAGATCTTTTGTTAGGGTGTTGTCCCTTTTCATCTCAAATCTTAAAACTCATTCAGTCAAACTGAGTGCATGACATTATGAATAATGTTTAGAATGACCTCAGTATTCAGCCACAGGCTGGTCTCTCTCAATCATCATTACATCGGTGTTATAATGGGTGAGTTTTTGCATGTGTCGTAATGGCTCTTACTGAGTACTGTACATGAGTCATTGTGATATTTACTCTGATACCTTGTGAGATAATTTAGGTCAGATTTTATGTATGGCACAACAATATATCTCTGCCAAGACTACATTATTTTAAGCAGTATCATTGTCATCTGGGGCAAACCCAAAGTTTGTTGTTAATTAAAAGTAAAAGGCTGGAAAGGGTGAAACTGGAGTACCCTTTTGGCAAGGAAATGTCTTTCCTTCCTCTTACAGCTTAAATTTATTTGCATATCAAGCTTAATTATATGATTTAAGACTTATTGTCAAGAGCTTAATGGTTTGGCGCAGAGTGAAAACAACCAAGGTTGGTCATATGTATGTTGCAAAGTTGAACTGACCGTGAGCATCTGAAGCAAATTCACTCACATTGTTCTTCTAATATTGCTAAGGTGTAATGGATTTCGTTCGGCATGTGCTTGACAGATGATTGTGTGTGTCTGATGTGTGTAGTCTTGCCATCTGGGTTGATTTTATTATGTGTGCTTACACACATTCACAGACCGACACAAATGATTGACAGATGTGCAGGCTCAGGCGCACAGTATGTGTGAATATCACAATCATTGGGGTGCAGCTTATGCTTCTTATATTGACATAAAAATTTGCATTTAATTTTTTTTTAATTCTATTACATCATGCTTAACAAACCATCAAGACTTACTCCTTGTAATTCTGCCACCCAGAACAAAAGTTTTTGGACTAGAAGCAGATGCTTATCAATGTGTCACAAACAGTTTCACCACCCAGCTTTTCCCTCTGTGTTTGAATTAATGAAGCGCCAGACTGGTAATGCAGTTGTGGTGGCCATCATGAGCATTTTGATGATGTTTATGGTGGAGGTCTGGTTGATGTAATCAGACTGAGATTCATTAGGATCTTTGCTTACCAAGCTCTTTCTCCCACCCAGAGGGCCTGACGCCAATAACCACCAAAACTTGGCAAACCCTCTGGGTAGAGAATGTGAACTCAGCAAAATATCAGAGCAGTCTCCTACTGTGTATAAGTAATCACTCCTGAAGGGTTAATCAGAGTTTTCCTGGGAAGTGGGCCAAGTAAATAAGGATAGAGCTCATTATACCTGCTCCATTCATAACAGAATGTGTGAAAATGCAGCAGGGTCAGTGCATGTAGATTTGACATACGTTAGAGGGTAAATTTAATTTATAGATTATTATGCTGCAATTATTGTGTAGTTAGTATTGTAGCCGACTGGCATAAACATGCTCTGCCTCTTTAAGACAGAAAGTCTGGCACTTTTATAATAATAATAATATTTCTCTGTATCTCTGTTCAGTGACTCTTTCTTTAGGTTACATAATTTCTCCAGTAGGTGGCGACAAAACTATTTATGAGTGAATCACTTAATCATTCACTCAACCGATTTGTTTAAACTTGCTGATTCATTCATGAACAAAACATGAGTGAGTCACTGAATCAGCCACTCAGCTGTTTCAATCAAAAACACTGATTAATTTAAGTGAATTAATTTAAGTCACTGATTTATCGTTTGATTATACTGTGGCTTTGATTGGAACTATCTTCATTGGCAGAGCAAAAATAGACAAAATAGTGTGTCTAAATATGCAAGTTACTCCGTTTAATTGCATAAAATATAAAAAAACTATATCATACTCGCAATACTCGCTGGTCTGAATATCATATCAGTCAAACAAAATGGATGTTTAGGTGGAGTACAAAAACCAAACAAAACTGAAAAGCAGTTCAGTTTCAGTCAGTTTTACACCGCGAAGGGGATAACCAGAGACAACATTTCTAGAAGAATGCCGTTTTGCTTTGTTATGAGCCTGTTTGGACCTGGGACTTAATCCTTTTTGTATATTGAAGGAAAATCTCTTAAGTGTTGCTACTGCATTGCCTACGAATGACTTTGTCAAAGCTTAACTAACAAACAAACAAATCCAAACTTTTTTAATAGGTTTATTTGGAACACGTGTTTGGTTGTTTCTTGAATATTTACTTTGGACTGATTTTTTATTGATGTACCTATTTTCTATGATATTCTTTGGGCCAGATGGATGAACTGACCTGATGGATGTTTGTGCCTCAAATATTGGAGCCTTTTGTGCTAAAAGACTCTGTTGCAGTTTCTTTTAATGCATTGTGATTGACTGATTTACATTTGAACAGCATTGTTTAATATGTGGATTTCTAGTTATTTGATTAACCAAAGAAAGCATGTATTTATTGTGCCTGTATGGCACTCAATACATATTTCATTGCCCTCATAGGCAGTTTTAACAACCACTGCTAAAATATGCTCCAGTAGGGCCACTGTTTCTGAGTCTGTTGTAGGACCATCTCTTCCTTCTTAGGTGATATGAATCTGTCTTTTGCCTCACTAATGACTTTACCATAACACAGCTATATATTATATATTAATTTCCCATGAGCCTCTAAAGCAAACTGTCTGGCTGTGTTTAGGCTGGTGTATGCACTTTAGCTATCTGAAAATGCTGTACATTTTATTATTTTGATTAAAGCAATTTATATATATAATGGCTTTGCTTTGAGATGAACAAACATTATGTGATTATAATCCTCCTGCTTCAAGCTCTTTGTGTTGTCATGGCTATGCTAATGGAGAATGTGAAGTCCAAACCAGGCTGATCTGGGGCTGCTGCTCTGCATTTGCAAAAAAGAAATAAATAAATAAAATCTTCCCAGATCCCAGAGGGAGTTACGGCATCTTGAACACATGGTCCATTAACTCGCAATCTTTTAGATATGGAGTAGTCATTTCTTTGGATTTATAGATCAAACAAGTTTTTGGGAAAATGCTTTTTTATCCAACACAAGTAGGACTTGTGACAGGGCTATTGTGCAAAAAGAGAGTTTAGTTTGAGCATTGTGTTATTTACTTTTTATTCCTTTGGACTGGTGAGAATGAGCTCTTCTGTTGAAAATGGGGTTGACTTTACTCTCTTATATGACTATCGTGTCCTACGTTTGGTTAGGACACTGTTAACCTGAGTTAACAGCATCCTGAGGCAGCCAAATATGACACTGTTAATATATCCATTTATACATTATACAAGAAACAAAAACTGCCAAGGCATGTCATTCTCTATCATTGCATCATTTCTTTAGAGGCCAATTTTGGTTTTGGCTAAACTAATTTTGCTCATGGATACTCACTGAGGGACCTGCGATTGTTTTTTATGTCACACAATAGAATGTTTGTGTCCAAAGATCGGTAGTTCAGAAGTGCTTTTCACAAAATACATACATAAACATTGTCTTATGCTCTTGGATTAATTCACAAAGTTTTTTCAGCCTTGGCAGAAGTAGTGTCCCTGACAGCATTGATAGTACTGCAGTGTATTAAGAGGGACGTTGTGAATACCGCTTTTCTTTCATGACAAAACTGCCAGACCAGAACATGCAGCAGAGCTGTGAGTTATTATATGATATGAAAATTAATTTCAGTTCTAGTTCAGTTCCATAAAATTCCAGTTAAAAGAGACAGAGGAAACTAAAACTAAACTGCTGTAGAACACAGATGAAAATAGTTACACTGTCAATATAATTTGACACCAAGGGTTTTTATTTTGATTGGAATCTTAGAACTTCATTTTTAAGCGTTTGGGGAAAATACATTGAAATCATACAAGAGGTGCCACAGTGATGGAATAATAACTTTTTTCCAGACTATAGGTAACAGACTATATAGGTACCGTTTAAAAGTTTGGGGTTGGTAAGATTTTGTAATGTTTTTGAAAAGTCTTATGTTCACCAAGCATA